TGTGCAAAAATAATTGAGTTAAGAGCACAATTTCACAATATGTAATCAAGACAATTTATCTTGATAATATTGATAAATACTCAAGATGTTGTGACATTAAATGTCAGAGATAGTGAAATCATTGCTTGTGAAAATAAAGCTCCATGTGTTGATCTGAAATATGATACCAAATACAAAAATAATTGTATGCATCAAACCAATAAATTATGATCAGATTTTCTTTCAATCGATTTATAGTCAAGGACCAAATATTTTTCATCTGATTAAATTGGTATGTAATATATAATCAATGAATATACAATGATGCACAAAGATAGATTCTACATATGATTTAGATATATGTTAGTTATGTCTAATATAAGTGAGAGACTAGAAGCAACAGAAGAGTTGTAAGAAGCAACAGAAGAGTTGTAAATTCTCCTATTGAATGTCCCTTAATGATAAAGTCTATGACATGCATGAAGCATATGATAGACTAATTAATTCTAAATAAAATAATCTTTGAAAAAGCGGGAGGATCAAAGAATCAAAATGATCATAATAAAGATACAATGTGCTCTTGGAGATCTTACAACATAGCACTTTATAAAATCTCATGAGAGGGGTAGCTACCTAAAAATAATGAAGTGATGAGATCTTAATAAATTATGTCGTATTGTGAATCAATACTAAATGATGTCGTTGACGATATCTTTGATACCATAGCGCACAATATCATAAAAAGATTATGAGGATATGAAATCTACATCTATTAAACCATGCTTGTGTGCAAATAATTATCAAGTGAAAAGTGAAATGATGCATCTTAGTAAGCGTAAAGCTTATTTGACCTGCAATCTAGTTACTAGAAGATGTCATACATCTAATATTGAATGTTGTCACTTGACAAAATTGATATAAAAATATACAATGGGTTCAAAATCTGAAACATATACAAATTTTTAAAAAACTTGTCTATCATCCTCATAAGGATTAAATAGATTCAAAATGCATAGAGCATATAGAAGTATTATTATGCAAGTTGATAACTATAATTGAAACTCTTGAAGAGTTTTCAAAAGGCAATAGATTATTTGCTTAAAGAAGTTAAAGTAAGGAACTTGGAGAAATCTTTGACCCTGAAGGAAAGATTCATAAAAGCAGATAGAAGAAAGCATATTTCATCAAGTTTTTTCTACACTCATGAGCTCCAAAGAATGGTGATATCAACATGCAACACGTTTGTTCAAGTAATACTACAATTGATTTATCCACCAATTCTTTACCAACTACAACTTTCAAGAATATGATGCTCAAGCTTGGAAAATGAAGATTTTAGTCTCTGAATTGATGTTGTCATTAGGGGGAGTTAATATGCGACGTACTTTTTTTTCCTCACAAGGTTTTGTCCCACTGGATTTTCCTTGTAAGGTTTTTAATGAGGCATCCATAATGCGTATTATTAGATATGTGTACCTTTTTTCCTTTACTAGATTTTTTTCCTACTGGATTTTATCTAGTAAGGTTTTAACGAGGCACATAATCTACCGACATTCAAGGGGGAGTGTTATAAACAATTTGTATTATAGTGAATTTCTAATTATGTGGAGTCCTTGTATGATATGGTTAGGAATCCTACTTGGGGACCAAGTAAAGTTTTCCCTATAAATAAAGGGTTTTCCTTCGTTGTAAATAAGATTTGTGAAAGATCAATGAATTATGAATATACTTCAAGATAAATAAGAAATATTTCTCTTTTCCCTACTTTATTTGTCTTCTAACTTCATATAGTTTCATAACAATAAATTATTTTTATTTTGTTTTTTCAAATAACATTTTTTAGTGTTTACTGTTTTTATTTTTATTTTCATATGTTATATTCATGACTTCTACGTATTAATTTACTAGAAAAATATATGGCCCGTGTCACGGGCCCAACATGAAAATTATTTAAGTTAGATTGATGTGATTCACAATAACAAAAAAAATATATATTAATTATTTGATAATATTTATCAACGGAAGCCAAGTTTAGAAACATAGCTTTGCACTTATTACAGAAGTCTACAAAATAATTTTAGGAACTTGTAATTTGAATTCATCAGATATGACTTAATTGATCTTCTCCTTGTTTTTATGAAGATTATATTTGTGTACATATATATTGTATCTATTTTTATAGGCTTTCGATTGACTTGTTTCTACATTACAATGACGATAGTTATTAAAAAAAATTAGTACAAGAAGAACATGAATAAAAAGAGATTGAGTTTGAGTGATTGTCAAATTTATATATAGTATAATAATTATATTCATAGATACTTATATTCGAAAATTAACACAAGATGAAATGTTGATTTCTAAATACAGTATATTTGGATACATAAGTAATCTATCGAATTCGAAAGGTTAATTAGGCAATACAAGTATAATTGGATATATTAATACTATTTTTTATAAACAAATACACGAGTCAACACCAAGGCTCAAGTATTATAAGAAAAACTTGACCAAAAAGAGATTGACGTTTGTTGATTTTTTTAATTTTTTTTACAACCGAATACTTGCACACTTTTGTTACCTGCACATTCTATTATTATTTTTATTTTTATTTTTATCACAATAACTCATAAAAAATTAAGAAATAACAAAAATAAGGTAATACTAATTAAAGATGTTTCTAGAACTATTGAATTTTCTTGTTATCATTCTTTCTAGATTTTTGTTTGCGTGAATTAACATTTTTACCTTTGATCATCATTCACTTTATATATAGAAAAATGTTTCTAGAATTATTCATTCTTGATAGATTTTTATTAGAATGAAATTACATTTTTATTCATGGTCGTCTTTAATACAAATCTATCATCCTATTCATTTTTATTTGCAAAGTTACTTTTTAGCATTTTTTTCTTTAATTTCAATCTAATATATATTATTAGTTTTATTACATTTATTTATTTTCAAATATATTAAGTAGAACCAAAATAAAGATGTAAATAATTAATTCATGATAAACTTTTACATAAAAAGTAAACATTTTTATGAGCATAATGAATTAAAATAATATTTAAAATTAATTATAGTAATAGTTAAATAGAGTAATAATAAAATAGGTATCACAATAACTCACAAAAGAAAAGAAAGTGAAGTAATAACAATATAAGTTAATGGTTATAATACTAACTTGCGATGTTTGTAGAACTATTTAATTTTCTTGTTATCATTCTTGATAGATTTTTGTTAGTGTGAAATTATATTTTTGTCCTTGATCATTATTCACTTCATATATAAAAAGATGTCTCTAGAATTATTTATTATTTTTTAATAAATTTTTGTTAGCGTGAAATTACATTCATGCCCTTAAACGTCCTCTACTTCACTTTTCTATATAATAGATTAGATATTAGGTGTCCGCGTCAGTACGGGCTTAACAGATGTTAATTATTTGACACAAATGAAAATTGAAAAATGAACTAAATTTGTTATATGTGCTTTTGTTTAAAAAATATTTTAAATTATTAATTTATGTACCTTTTATGTCATTTTCAAATAATATATGTTACTTCATCTGTTTCATTTTATATGATATAAGTGATTTTAGGAAAGTCAACAGAATTTCTTATATGATTTTCACATATTTTTAGTTGTTATTTTACTGTGATTCATATAATTTTTTAGTTCTTATGTCATTTTCAAACATAATATGCAATTTTCTTTGGGAAAAATGACAAATATACCCGCGAACTACCGTAAATATATGCAGATACCTTTTGTCATTCTTTTGGGACATTGGTGTTTCTGTCGTCCATAAATTAGAGCATGTATGCCCTTCACTCTAACGAAGGGGCAGGGGCACCATTGTACCCAAAGTATGACGGCAGGGGCATAAATGTCCCAAAATATGACGACAAGGGCACCAATATCCCAAAAATATGACGACAAGGGCACTAATGTTCCAAAAGTATGACGACAGGGGAACCAATGTCTCAAAAGTATGACGAAGGGTATTTGCATACCATTTACAATAATTTGGGGTATAAATTTAGGGTTTAGCGTTTTAAATATGCAAATTATTTTATTTTAATAAAAAATTGCGAATGTGTGGGAGATTCTTTTTTTTTCTGCGAATTGTGGGAGATTTTTTTTTCTTTCTTTGTAACATTTTTTCTAAAAAATTTCTTCCTATGTATTATTATATAATGCAAAGATAAAATAAAACGTGATAGTAATTCTTGCTTTTAAAAATCTTTTTGTTTTTAATTTTTATTTTTTAAATATAATAATTAAGTACTTTAATAAGTATAAAATTAATTTTTAAAATTGTAAATAGTTTAGAAAATTATAATTAGCTTCAAAATTATTCGCGAGCTTATAATTTTATTTTATATTTGTTAATTTTTGATTTTTTAACTACAATAAATTAAATTATGGAGTTTTTAAGAGGAAGAAGAAAATGCTTAATGAGTTTTTTAAAAAATCAACCGTTTTTGATTTTTTTTTCCATGTATAATTTATAATTTATCATTTTTTTCAAAAAATTCGTTATTTAAATATTTAACTTTTTTTTTTCCTACCGTCTATCATGTATCAATATGGGAGTTATTTTTCTAAAATTTTGTTATTTAAAATATAGAAAAGATTTCTTTTGTTGCTACACAACATTTTTTGATTTTTTTTTCATTTATAATTTTTTAAAATTTTATTATTTAAATATGTAAAAGTTTTATTTGTGTTGCTACACAACTGTTTTTGATTTTCTTTTTCATTTATTATTTATAATTTATTAATTTTCTAATATTTTGTTATGTAAATGTTTTTTAAAAAAATATTGTGTTGCAACCACTTGCCATGGGTTATTTATTTAATATTATTTTATCAATTAAATAACAATTTATTATTTAATCATATTACATATAATTAATTTTAATTATTTAGAAATTTCGTTTTTTGTGTTACTGACACGTGTCTTCTTTATATATATATATATATATATATATATAAACCCGTTTACCCTTGTAATGGGTTAGACCCGATTCTCATAATCTCTGACATTTCAAAATTTCTCTTCCAAATCATTTTTTAGATCATTTGGCATCGTAAACCCCACGAATCGGTATTTATTTTTCTATTCGAATGTTAGTTTCTTATACCTTTTGTTAATATTGTAATTTTTGGAGCAGCTGTATAGAAATTATGTTCATTTGCTTTGTATGTAAGAATAATTTTGCAACTTTATTCTAAGCAATCATTTTAGAGAACATTTTTTTCTGTATTTTGTGATTGTGTAGAAGCTGAAACAAGTTTGAATTGTTGAACCAATTTTAATCAACTTCGGCAATCCCTAGAATGTTTTTTCTTGATTGAAAATGGGATAAATAAATTGTAAGCATTTTGATTCTCTGTATCCATTCTGCATTATTCGAGGTGTAGAAACTTGCTTGTTTTTTTTTCAGTTACCTTGCGGCAGAGAACTATTTGGTGCGGGAGTAACCATGAGTTGAATGTTTGGTTGAGTATTCTATTGCGCCTAGTAAAATAGGCATCCTATACCTATGTATGCTTATTAGTGCCATTGAGGGGCAGCCGAAGGTTAGGTGTTAGTTTTTTGGTTGGTATTTGGGAAATAAGCGTTAAAATATGCATATACATTAGCCATCATTGTTTCTAGGCACTAGTGTATGTTGTTGTTGAGAAGCAGGAAGAATTTGAACTACAACCAGATACGTGGCCGTTATATTGAGGGAACATTTTCATTAATCAAGAAATGGGGAAAATGGAGTGTGTGCATTTCAATCCATATTTTTTAGTATACAGGTATTATGGCATTAGTTGGAACTGAGTCTCCCAAATCGACAATCCATTAACCTCTTCTAGTTCTTATGCACATACTGTTATCCTTTTCTGTTTTTGCTATATTGTTGTTCATATCTGATCAATGTGAGTATAAGGAGTTAGAGTCGGGTGGATAATTAATTTCTCATATGGTGCTTAATATGGCTATGGCTTGTGAGACCATTATTTTTTATCCTGTCCAGATAAACTAAGTTGGATGCACTGTTTTTTCTTCTCTGGGCACTAATTTGTGTGTTTTTAGAATGTCTACAAGTAGTGGTGAGCACTCTTTTGATGTAAAGGAGCTATTGGAGATTAGGGCAAGATGTAAAGAGGTAATATGTGCTCTTCAATCATATTTAATATTTGTTATAGCATATCCATGGAAGTAATAACCCCACTTGTTTTGATTCATGAACAAGTTAAGTGCGGATTATAATTCATGTGTCATAATTAGGTGAATGACATTCACTGATGTATTTGCATTTTGTTGGATGATTGGTTAATTACGTTAGAATGTAAAATATTTAAAATCTAATACTAAAAATATTTTTGGATTTAGTTAAGTAATAACTAGTAAAAGACGGTTGAACTAACAAGTAATAAAACAACATTCTTTCCTTTCCACGTGCTTTGATCCATGCATTAGTACTACATGTACTGTTAATCTACCTTAAATTCAGCATAATATTATACCAGAATTACGTGCAACTAATGCATGTGTTATGGAGTAACATGGAAACTAAGAGTGACAACCAAATGTTTGTCTAATGATTCGGAATTTAACACTGGAAATAAATGGTTGAAGTGAGAAATCTTATGTGCAGTAATTTTAACTGTACTGGCTTTGCTTGATTCAAAAATTTGGGAGTCATTTTTTTTGTGGACTAGTAGGAATGTTTTTCTAGTAAACCAAGTTGGAGTCGATTTGGGTATCTGACTTCTTATTTTAGTTTGGCCTGCTTTTATGTTCATAGCTGCTGTACAAATTATTTTCTGATAATGACTTGATTTGTGGTAACTTTCTTGCTAGTTAGCTTTCTATACTTCCTTTAACTTCATTCTCTTTTTGGCAGCTTAGGAAAGAAAAGGATACACTGAGGGGTTCACAAGGTCAGAGCGTTGAACTGATCAGAGTAATTTCAAATATCTTTATCTTTGTTTGTGAATCTTTTGGTTTCTATCTTTTGGCCGTTATCAAGTCATCTTCAAATGTTGTAGACTAATAAAGTTGTGTCATGCCCCAAATCCATGTGACTGGTATCTGGAACTCTACCCAACCCATGTAACCATCCTTAAATATGCACTCAAACAATGAATGCAAAACTATTGAAACACTCCAATCCAATCCTTTAACTATTGAAAATCATGCATGAATACAACCGTTAAATCAACAACATTTTTCTTTTAAATGAAATATTCATCAAAATATAAAAGTCTCATGCATGCATTCCATGTGAATAATAGTAAATACAACCCAAAAGAACTGCTATCTTCTATGGAGCCTCTATGACAAGAATTAAGCTTGGAAACCAGAGGCGGAGCCAGAATTTTCAATAAGGGGGCTCAAAATCTGTAGAAATAGATAGCTGAAGGGGGTTCGACATCTACTATATATACATATAAACTTATTTTAACCATGCATAAATAATATAATTTTTTGCCGAAGGGGGTAATGAACCCCCTTGTATGAAGGTAGCTCCGCCCCTGTTGGAAACCGAGACAGGTCTCAGAATATAACAATCTAAGTTTCAAATGCCTAATTTGTATCATACAACCGTTCCCCAAGATGTGACACAAGATTTAAAGAAATCAATTGACATGCATAGACATTGATATAATCAAGAGGCATTTATATAACAATTATCAATTTAGACATTGAAATGAAATATCAAAATAAACACATTTCAAAGTACTCATTTTAGCATTAAAGCCTAATCAAAATCATGTGAGATTTTATCATTTATCATGAGTACTATACCTTCACCATCAAAATATGTAAAGTCAACTAGCTTATGTACCTAACAGTATTGTCAAAGGCGTGCTTAAGCCGTGAGGCAAGTCTCAAAATGGATTGAGTGCTTTCATGTCATCATCATGGTTCTAAGGCATATATATTTTCCTCTCCTGGCGTCTTCTTTTTTTATATTAAAGCTCACTTTTTTTTTTGTGTAGCAATTGAAGTCCCAACGGACTTTAGAGTTTTTTTTTGCACTTTTTGCTTTTGATAAAACTGGTTCGTAGCAGCAAGTATATATATCCTACTTGCTCAGGTTGTGTCATCAAAGTTTTGTATGAATCGACTTAGCCATGGTACTAAAGTAGCACAATAGTACCCACTCATGGGACACTACCATAATCCTAACCATAAGGTAGGTCCTACGCCTACATCGGCATGTTTAGTCTCATGTCATTACGAGGAACATGTTCGAAGCCAATCTCGGTGGATCTTGTAAGTCCCAAATTCTCAACCTTGACCTTCATAGTGAATCCAACCGTTTGAGCAAAAATCAAATAAAATCCCTTCACAATTCATGCTAGAATATTCAACAAATAAGTGCTATTTTTTTTTGGTGAAACAAAATGTTTATTGATACCAAAAAAGTAAGTAATTACAAAACCATACAAATCTAGCTCAAAATCAATAAACCATACAAATCACTGAATCAAGTAAAAAAAAACACAGCTAATTCAGGTCTTTTTAGGAAATGATGCCTTACTTGATCTATCTTCTTCAAAGCTTCCTTCCACTTCTTTAGATCTTTTCCTCGAACATGAATATATAAGCCAATCACCTTGCAAACTCTATCACATTGGTATAGATTCTCCTGGAACCTAATAGTATTCCTTTCTCTCCATATAATATACACCATCATTGCAAAGACACACTACATAAAAAATGATTTTTAGCGGCAATTAACACTTTTTGTATATGTCCCTACAGGCTTTAGCGACATTGGATATATTGACACTTAACTAATGCCGGTAAAAACTTTTAACACTCTTTATTAGTGTGTCTATTTATTGCTGCTAAAAGTTATTTTTGTTGTAGTGACAACTGTTTATTGCACAGTCCCATTACTCTTTCTTGCGCACATATTAGTCCATTCTAGCTCAACCTGCCAGGTTTCTATTTGCCTATTGATTCCCAACCATTTCGGTTCCTGGCCCACAATGCTCTAATTCAGGACACGCAAAAAAAGGTCATTGAAGTTTCTGGGGCAACTATACAGTAGCTACATTCCAGGGGCACTTGTATACCAAACTTCTTAATCTGTTGTAGCCAGTCTCCTCCAAGCTTCTAACCAAGGATAAATTGATGCCTAGGATGGATGTTTGGTTGCAAAGGAATGCTCTTCCAATTCACTTTAGGATGCTTTGGTGTTAGATTGATGTACATGTGATGAATAGAGAACTTACTAGCTACCACCACTGCTTTTAACTTAGTTCCAGGGTCACCTGATCACATGACTGAAGTGCCTTCCTTGTCTCTAGGATCTTTCGTATTTTACCCAAGTGGCATTTGGTGGAATAGTACAGTGTTCCACATCCTCACCCTTTATATAGTATATATGTATCCTTTTGATCCAAAGACAATCTTTCTTTTCATGCATTGCCCATAACAGTTTGAGAAGAGCAGCAATATTCCAAACTTGGAGATTGATTATGTTTTGACCCCTACAACCTTTGGATAGACATAATTTCTCCCATGACACCAATGCTTTCCTAGAGCTCAGAGTTGAACCAGTCCAAAGATAAGTTATACATATTCCTTCAATCAGTTTCAGGATCCTCTTTGGCAGGACAAAGATTTTTTCCCAGTAAGTCTGCATCCCAAAAACTACTGATTTTAATAACACGATATTCCTGCAAAAGAGAGTAGTTTAGCTGTCCAACACCTTATTCTTTTAGTGATCTTTTCCACCAATGGCATGCATTGAGCTATAGTGAGCCTCTTGGAGGATATAGGCACCCGTAGATATTTGAAAGGTATCTCACCTTCCACATCGCCCAATGTAGATAAAATTGTTTGCTTCGTGTCAGGTTTCACACCAGTAATGTAAAGGGAGCTTTTCTCATTATTTGCCTGTAATCCAGAGACCATAGAGAATCTATTAAAAGCACCTTGCAGTAGTTGTATTGAACCTACATCAACCTTACAAAACATTAGTAAGTCATTTGTAAACCAAATATGCATCACACCAAATTTTTTACACCTTGGATGGTACTTGAACCGAGGCTCCTGCAAAACATACAGCTCTCTTTGCAGGTACTCCATTGCTAGCACAAACAGGTATGGGGACATTGGATCTCCTTTCCTGATCCCCCTTTTTCCTTGAAAGAATGGTGTTAACCCTCCATTTATGACCAGAGAGTAGGATACAATGGTTATGCATTCCATTAGCCATGCACAAATTTGAATGGAAATCCCAGCCCTTCAAGTAACTTCCTTATGAAATCCCATTTTATGGAATCATATGCCTTCCTCAAGTCCACTTTTATAGTACATCTAGGTGACAGACCTTTCCTAGTGTACCATTTCAAAAGTTCATGACTGAATAAGATGTTATCAATTATAATTCTTCCTTCTATAAAAAGAGTCTGGGAAGGACTTACTAGTATACCAACCATTGGCTTAATTTTATTTGTGAGGATCTTTGTAATGACTGAATAAGATGTTATCAATTATACTTCTTCCTTCTATAAGAACAGTCTGGGAAGGATATCTAGTGTACCAACCATTGGCTTAATTCTATTTGTGAGGATCTTTATAATGAGTTTATATATGGTGAGCAACATGCAATAGGTCTATAATCCTTTACCTGGTTAGGGGTAGTTACTTTAGGAACTAAAGTATTGACTGTACAACTAACCTCCTTAAACAGCTTATCAGTATTGAAGAATTCTATCGCAGCACCCACTACATCCTCTTTGACCTCCTCCTAGTGTTTCACAAAGAACTCCATAGGAAAACCATCTATTCCATATGTTTTGTCCTTTAGCCATTCCCCTTAGAGCATCAGCTATTTCCTGCTCAGTTATAGGGGCAATTAGACTGCATTTCCGATCATAGGATAAGAATGGATCTTTCCTGATAAGTTCAATATTTAGGCTTGGTATTTCAATATGTAAAAGTTTTCAAAAACGTTACCCTTCACATTTTATGAAAATCATGACAAATAGCACCTAAACTATTTACAAGGCAAGAACTGGTGCAATCCCAATCTGCTCGCCTCCACAAGTTAAGAAATACTTTAAACATGTTCTACATAAATCAGTTCAACAATATGAATTTCAGGAAAAACTTCGAGAGGTAGTGAGTTTCAACATACCTCGAATCACTTCCCAAAATTTACCCAAAGTATCTTTCACAATATACATATACGAGCTTATATTTATGTAAATCAATAATGCATCACAACAATACGAACTAAGTGTCCGACACTTGAATTTAACTTCATTAGTTCAGTAAGAATCACTATTTCTCAATTCGAAAGTCAAATCCTTGAGTTTTAACTCCAATTCGTCCACTACACGTGTTATGGAACCAAGTCACTCCTTTAGAAACTAAAAACGACGCAGTTCATGAGAACACAACAGTATTCATCTTCTTTATCAACAAACTTTTCAATTTCTAAACTAGCTTTCTTGGGTTTCATGAAATCAGTATTAAAAATCCAAATCCTTCAATAGTTCAGTCTACGATGTCCATGGAACATGAGTGAAAGGAACGCCTCTTTGAAGTACCCTAGATTTTTCATGACTTGTGTACTTTAAAGGTTCTTGATATTTTCTTTACAGATCTATTATTTCCATGATGTTGGAGCATGAGGAAATGTATTTAATGAACCAAATGTGCTACGCAATGCATTTAATACTTGCCTATAGCATTTATAAAGTTGGAGCTCTCCCTTCTCTCTAACTCCAACAACTTGTTCCAAACAATGAAATTTTCTCTCCCAAAATACCTTATAAAGGCTATTTAAGTTGGACACAACAAGTGATGGTGTGTTATTGATTTCTTAAATTTTTTCAACACCAAGAGTGGCTTTTCAGCTGGATTTCACTCCCAGTATCTCCTTTGTTCCAAATTAGCATTCCAAGTTTGCCTCCTGTTTCATTGTTTCTTTCTCATTTTTATCACAGGCAGACATAACTTTAATTAATCCCTTCTTTTAATTTTTGCAGCCAATTCATTTCATGACATGTACCCTCTTAGTCCCAATGTCCTTTCTTTTTATCTCATTATGTCTCAAGGTAATCAAGTCCCAGTTTCCTTCCATTTTTTTGTTGCTCATTTTGTCTCTATGTAATCCTATTTCCCCCTTTTAGTCACTGCCAAGTAATCCATCGATTCCAAATTTCCTTTCGTATCTTGCTAGCTGATCATTGATTTAATGATTATCCCCATTACTCATTGCTTATTCATTGATATATAATTATTCCCCGAAAAATCTATGATAACGTTGATTCATTCAATTAATTCAACCACTTATCCCATGGAGTTATAATTTATTACAAGCTATACCAATATTAATGACAAGTGTTCCCATGACTTAGTTACGCTCGCGCGGGCCCCACATAACTCAAATTTGATTAAATTTCAGCCTTTAGCTCTAAATTTGTCCGAATTAATTATAGCAAATGGAAGTGCCCCCCTCCCCACCCCAGACCTCCACCACCCAAAAATAAAAAGAAGACAAGACAAGACTTTAGTTTTGCATTCCAATTAATAGTTACCCTTTACCCATGCCATTTAACTGCTTTTCTTTTCATGTATATTTTGGTACTTGCTCGTTACTTGTGTACAGTCAAGTTTCTAACAATCAAAATTATGAGGAACTGGCACACTTTCATCTGTTACTCTTGTTAATCATGAGGTTTTATATACTAGTGTAACAAGATATATTATTATTTAAAGCTTCTAATAATCTATATGTATGCTATTTGTCTTATGATGATTTTTATAATCCATAAACTAGTGTAAAGAGGATGGTAAAGTTTGTCAGAAATTTGACTACACAGCAATTGGCAATCATATCGTATGTTGGTTCTGGGAATGGAATAAAGTAGGCTCTAAAAACAACTATGAAGTATAAACTATATCTACTATCTTGTAAAGATATAATGTTAACACAACTTACTGTCATCACAAATTAATTTAGAGTAGTTAACCAGTGGACTGAAAATAACCACTAAGAATATAACCAACTTGTGTTGTCAATCATGAACATTCTATTACCTAGTTGAAAATCTTGGAGATTAAGGTGAACATTTTTCTATTTCTATTAAATGTATTTTACAGAAAATAGAACAGCATGTACAGACATTATCTGAGGCCCGAGAAGAAGACAAATATCACACCCAGAAGCTGAAAAGTGAGCTGGAGAACTGTTCCCAAGAGATAGGTATCACTCCAAAATATTCTTGTTACATTATATGTGACGTATTTTTATTTTACTTGGTAAACATTCCTTATTTTTACCTAAAGTATACTCGGAGCCCCAGGCTGTAGAAATATTCAAAAAAGGAAGAAAATTCAAGCGTATGCCACGCCACTGAGAGGAGTAAAATGGTAGTTGACTGTTGATTCTCAAGTTGAAGTCATCTTTTGCCATCATATGAACATTTAGCATTTTCGTTGGAGCAATATCACCTCTTATGAACGCGTATCGTCTATTTCTAGGTGATATCTTTGGCTTTTGTTGCTTGGACTCTTCAAAAATGTTGATGGGGCGTGTATTAGATTCTCCAAAAGCAGTTATTTTTGGAGAGTCGACACAGGTGTGACAATATTTTTTTGAGAGTTCGAGCAACAGTCTTTTGCAAACTATAACCTTTACTTTACTAGAAATTTTCGATAGGTCATAGCCTTTATATTTTGTAGCTTGTCATATAAGATTGGTCCTCTTCTATAGTTAAAATTGTATCTATTTTATTTGTTGTTGACTTCAATTGCCCATTTTAGTTCCAACATTTCCAATATATTCGTTTTAGACTACCTGCAGGATCAGCTGAATTTGAGGAATGAAGAGATGGATTCTCTGAGTAAGTGTGTATGCAGCCTTCAATTGAAACTTGCAAACCTTGAAAACATGGAAGAAGAGGTTACAAGGTTAAGGGAAGAGTTGGAAATGTCAAATGCTGAACGGTTATATTTGTTGCAGCAATTGGAAAACAGAGAGTTAGAGACAGAGGGTTCAGCTTTGTGCATAGAGAGACTAGAGGAGTCAGTAGCATCCATAGGTCTAGAGCATCAATTCGAAATAGAGAGTATAAAGCTTGATTTGATAACCATGGAGCAGAATTATTTCAAAGCTAAGAAATCCCAGGATGAAACTGCTCAAGATAATGCTATGATGAACGAGCTTATTCATGACCTCCAACTTCAAATTTATGATGCAGAAAAAGTTATCGAAAGTTTGGAAAAGGAAAATGTAAATCTTAGGGAACAACTCCAGACGTCTGAAATGAATGCCAGAACATTTTCTGAAAAAGTAGAGGAGCTATTTCGTGGTTTGATACCGAACAATGATGACAGCTCCTCAAGTAAAGAAGATGCCAGTGCTTCTAGGTATGCAGTGAGCATATACTCAGATCTTAGTCTACCATTACCTTATTAGCTTAAGATGATGAATGATTAATATTAAGTAATTCATGTAAGATCAGATGTTGGCGACAAATTGTTGATGTGAAAGCACCATACTATATTCCAGAGTAAATTCTTAAGTATGATTCATCTAATAAAGCAAATTGTCTCATGATTTTCATATTTGGTAGAGGCATTTTGTAGTTTGTTGGAGATAATGATTGTGTATTGTCGTGTATGCTTGTATTAAGAATCTTTCTGTGCTAAATACCTAAAATTATAGTAAAGCTAAGTCATCTTTCCAACAATTTTTACATTGTGTCTCACATTATTCCTTTCATTTAAGCTGCTGTGGTGACATTTTGGGTCCACTCCTTATCAAACTGGCTTCTCTAGGGCCATCAGATGTCGACTTGACTGACAAGAGGAAGATAATGGCAGGTCAAATACAGAATAATGAATCACTTGTAAAGCAGCTTAAGGTATTTTTTGTAGTTGACATCCGTAGAAACATTACATCCGAGTCTTAATGCGATTAATGCTGTTGGTCCATTGATTTGAATGGGTAGGAAGAGCTGATAATGGAAAAGCTAAAAGCCAAAGAAGAATCAGAGGATTTAGCTCAAGAAATGGCTGAGCTGCGGTATCAGATGACTGGGTTGCTGGAAGAAGAACGGAAACGTCGTGCATGTGTTGAACAATTATCATTACAAAGAATAGCCGAGTTAGAAGCACAGGTATCTCCTTTAACATCTGTGACTTAGTATGTCCCGTTAGGAGGATCCTTTAATGAGGTCCCTGATATATTTTCATGTGTTAACAAGGTTGAAAAAGAAAGGATGAAATCCTTCACTGAAGAAGATCAAAGTAAATCTATCACTGTTTTCAGACATGTCAGTGAAGCATAAAGACAGGTCAAATGTTGTAATTGGGAGCATATCTGCTGGTGGAGCGTGTGTTTCAGGTCTGGTGTCTATCTTTACTTGTATTTCTTTCAAAGTGTTTACTGAAGGAAAAATAATTTGATTAACAAAACGAACTGTGCATAAGAATTCTGATGAATAGTTGTATGATCACCTTATCAAATGGTGTTCTGGTTGGAAAGTTCAGTTTGCTTCATTATTTTTGGAACAAGTTTACATGCATAAGAATGCGGTTTCTATTTGCAGATGGAATGAAGACTTCTTATGCTGGATGTATCAGTGTGGGTTTTCATGTTGTAAAGACTTGTTGGTTCCAGATGAAGTGCTAAGTTGGATGTATCAGTGTGGGTTTTCTTGCTGAACCATGGAAGTGTTATTTATTTGAGCTTTAATTATTGGGTGTTCGAGTCCATTGTGGACAGTTTGTAATCAGTGTTGTCTCAGAAGGTGCTTGCGAACTTTACTAAAGGGGTGTGCCGCGTCTGAATTGTATATTTTTTGAGTGGGATTTTGGACTATAGAACCAGGTTACTTTATAAACAAAAATGTTTATCTTTACAATTCATACTAAAACATATGAATATCCTGAGTTCATAAACCATAAAGACCAAATCAAATAGACAATTACATTATCTTAAAACACTAATATGGTACGATCTAGTATGGTTTGATATTCAAAAGGTGGTTCTTTCTAAGAAATATTTTCTAAGTCGGCTCCCAAGACTTTTGTCAAGGGAAACAATAACATCTTTTGATTCCCCGTTGCCTTCTTGATCATCAATTTACATCTATTGTGAGATTGATATTCATGAGGTGAGATTATTTATCATTTTTTTAAAAGAAAAAGTGTCTCTTCATCAATATGCAACATTGAATTTTTTAAGTGGCTGATAAACACCCAATTACACCTCTTTTAAAAATGTGTAGACAATCATTAGCAATATAATAACCTTACTAAAGAGTTGGATCGTTCCCATAGAAAATGGGGTTCTACTTTCGCCCTAGAGTGTAATTGATATTTGGCATATTTTGATCTTTCTTGCATACCACTTGAATGGATTCGTGTTTAGGATTGAGCACTTGACAAACATCATGCTTGTTTAAGGGACTTGATGAGAAATAAATGCTCCACATTTGAGTCTGTTTATCCCCGCTCAACGATGTAGTTAGACAGTCTGCTGAGGTAGGTGCTTATTCTCGCTCAACGGTGTAGTTAGACAGTCTGCTAAGGTCGAGAGACCATGATCATAATAACATCCTTGTAAATCAGTAATTTGATAGCCATAAGAATTCCATGAAAGAGATGTGATAATGAATCCTTAGCATACTGCAACCCTATATACATAAATTGAGTTTAGATTCTATAGTCTGGCTCTTTTACAACCACTATACACTTGTGTGACGACGTACACTTGCGTGTACAACCAAAAGCGACAATAATCAATCACTAGCTATTTGCAAGTAAAATAAATGAAGGATTTAGAAGTAAGTAGCACAATGTGTTAACACGAAACTCAAATTAGACGACTGTCTCATTGTTTTTCAAAAAATGAGATTTGTTTATACATATCAAATAAGTCTTAGACATTTGTTAGCATGAATGATAGTACTGTAATGGGGTAACTAACATTGCTTCAACAAGTTGACGACAATCAGTAAGCTAGGCTATTCGTATTAATGACAATCGTTCAATCTACATGTATTTTCTCAAACCTCATTATGTGTTCAATTCCAAACAACCTATAATCTCAATTTAGCTAATCTATTTCTAGATTCAACAATTAAATGAAAGAACTCAAATAATTATCAACCGATTCTTCCCACCCTTATTCCATCTTTCAAGCAAACCAAGATATTCAAAGATTAATACAGTTTGTAACCTCCAAACATTAATTGACACATGAAGAAATAACTGAACCCATATAATATCAAACGTTATAGAAACAATTAATCAACGCTCAATCACATACTATTCATCCATCACATACCCCTAGGAATTCGGAAATTAGCTAGGCATAGTTTAAGGAACAATAAATTACCATTACCACAGTTAAATCAACCATATTCTCAATATTCCACAATAGAATTAACAATCCAAAAGTAGAAACAAAGTTGTCTTCACCAAAACTTAAATATACTTGATTCACAAGGCACTTTTTTGGTATTTCTTGAAGCAAATTTTTTGCATGTCGTAATTTCTGCCTGAATCGAAATGTATCCTTTTTGGGACACGACTCGGTAAGTTGATCCAGACCTTTTGACAGAGTCATTTTTGAGATTCAAAGTGCGGGCTCCACATTCACGTTTTGACTCAATTTTTGGTCTACCTTCAATTATTTTGTTTTTGATATCAAAACATACATATTGACTTGTGGTTATGTTTTTGATAGTATGGCAACGATTCAAGATCGTTCAAAAGAGAAAACTCGGATATAGTGATTATGGAGCGCGCGTTGTCTACATTGAGGTAGTTATGACTTCTCATTTGTAAATTTATGCTAATTTATTGGAATTGGGGTTGGGTAGTAGTTGATCATGCTTGATTATACAAAATCATGCTTTAGGCCTTATTTTTGGATTTTGGGGGAGCTCTATATGCCTCATTTTGCTTTGTGATCATACCTTACCTTGTGGTTGTCGCTTTGTGAACATTGTTGAATTTTTTATTGGTCTTAGCCTAGGTTTAGGTTACCTTTGCCTTAGACTCGCATTATGGAGCCAATAGGCCTTAGAATTGATCTTACATCTCTTCAGACGACTTAACTCCCTATAGACGGATAAATGACTTGGGTCTGATAATGTGATCATTATCTAGGCGATAATTAAATTCATATGACCTTTAAATCCATAATTCACCCTTGGGGTAGACTTAGACATGTTGGTGGGTTATTTTAATCTTTATTTGGTTGTTTGTGGTCAAGTCGAGGATTTAAAGTTGGAGTGGATGATGGGAACTTTGAAGATAGTTCCGCTCCGCTCTATGACATGGAAAGTTGGAGTAAAAGAGGGTAATTTGGGAATTATGGTAGCTTTTACCCGGGTTTGATGTCCAAATGTAGCCTCTCTTAGCGGGTTTTGAGGCCCTGTCATACTATCTATTTAGTCGAGTTCAAGACCCTGAAAGTTTTCCATAGCTACGGTTCTAGGTCCCGACTCATCTTTGTTGTAACACCCAGTATGCTAGAAGAACAGATTCAAAAAAAAAAATCAGAATTTGCAGGTGCCACCTACATACCGTAGGTGGGGTCCGTTGTTGACCACCTGCAGCTCTCTTCCCAGAACCCCAAAAATTTTCAGCCAAGTCTTGACTTACGCCAGGACCTAGTGATCGTAGGTGGGACCATGATATGAGATTCAGACTCCCCATAACCCAAAGAAAGTTCAGCTAAATCCAGAACCACACTATGATCTTATGTGGGACTAAGATCCGTAGACCAGGCTTGTGGTTCAGATTCCCAAAAACTCCAGGAAAATTCATCTATGTCTAGAACCATGCACGAGGACCTACGAACCGTAAATGGGACCACGGTCCATGGTTTAGACTCTTCAGATCCTAGACTTTGAATCAAGCTGACGACTAACGAGGAAGGACTATACGTGGGACCATGGTCCATGGACGAGGCCCGGCGTTGACTTATTAGCTTTTAAGTTAGGGGTCGTTTGGTTTTTTCCCCTATGCTTAGACACCTAAACTAAGTCGTTTAACCCTTAAAATATGTAGTTTTAGTCAGCATTAGCCTAGTAACTTAATTAGACTTTACCCAATTCAACTAATTCTCCAAATTTATCCAAGTTGAACGAGAAAAAGGAGAAATATTCGACCAACCCTCTCCAAGAACGTAAAAAGGTTTCCTCCGGACCCAACTCTGAAATTAAAATATTTCTACGCCGTTTAACCCTTAAAACTATGTCATTTTAGTCAGCTTTAGCCTAATAACTGAAAGTCAAGAAGGGGGGGGGGGGTGAGTAAAAATATTTATCCAGTCGACTGCATGTGTAAGATAGTCGACTAATTTGGCGAGTTAGTTCAACATAGTAAGATAAAATAATTGAACTAAAGTAAATGAACACGGGAAGTTTTATATTGGTTTGGATCACCAATGTGGTGCCTAGTCCAATACCATTGGGGTTCAAGGGTTTCCTTCACAGCTTGATGAACTTGATTGTACAGAATGAGTAGTCTTCCTATCCTGCATGATATGCAAAGATCTTCTAGTTTTGACACTACCTCTACTTGTATAACCTACTCTCAGAATCTTTACTCTCCTTTTTTTTTTGTACAATTGTTCACTCACGTGTACAAAGTTTTATCAAACATGAAAGAAGATTACAAATAAGTTCAAGTGAAGTTGCGTCCTTCACATCTAGGGCTGAGAATGATTTATATATATGTTGAAGGTATTGATCTGTTTCGGAAACCAAAGGGATTTATCAAAGAAGGATTATCCAATTGATTCCTTGATTTATTTGGAATTTATTTGTTGAATCATGTCCATATAAGATACGTGCGCGGTTAAATCAATTCTTTCCTTTCTTGGATGATTTTCTAAGATCTTGGTTGATCCTCAATTCGTTCCTTGAATCTTGGCTTGATCTCTAATTCTGATCTTCAATCTCGTCTTTGATTTTACTCGGATTAATTTAGGGATATCTTCTTGCCTTCTTTATTCGCTGTCCAGTTTGATTCTTGAATCTCTTAACATTCCAGCTTTGCTTCACTAGTCCCTTCTTGTGTATTGTTTTCCGCAGTGTTGTCGCAGCCTTTAGCCAACTTATGTTATTTCCTATTAGTTGGCATTTATTCAAAATACAATGACTTAACAGTAACTTAATTATAGTTTAAATCATTCTACAAATTTGTCCAAGTTGAATGAGAAAACAGAGAAAGATTCGACCAACCCTCTCCAAGAAAGCAACAAGGTTTCCCCAGACCAACTCCGAAATTAAAATATTTCCTCATGAAATTTGTCACCAGGTATGTGAGATTTCATTAGTGCGTTCCTTTCACCTATTAGGTCCGTAGAATTCAATCATATTCTTGATTCTCTGTATCATGTTTAGACCTAGGTTTCTAGAACTTTAGATTTATGTTGTGATTTAGTTGCTAGACTAATCCAAATCAGATTATCATGTTTTCATAGAATTGTTGCTTAATTCTTTCCATGAAACTCAGAATCATAGTTGTGTAAATTCATTTAGTTCATGAATTACACTTGCCGGGTCAGCTTATTCAAATATACCTCAGTTAAGAATGTCTGATTATCAATACATTAATGTTGCATTTTCAGTTAGTACGCCAGTATTTTGAGCTATTTAGTATTACAAAAATTCTGTTATAATGTGTTACTTGGATAATCAATTGGGAGTAGGCTTAATAGCGAGTTGGAGTAAGGGTCAGTCACCCTCATAGTCGCAGAACCACGTGCCTCTGTAGAATATGTCCCATCTATGGTCAACATATTTATTAATTACGCCAGTCATGCATTATACCCTTTGTTTACATCCCCGCTCTTCAAATAGTGCGAAACGTCGTGGTGACTCGAAAAATGATCAATTAACTCAGTTTTAAAAGAATTTAAAGAATAAATGAATTTTAAA